GCTAGTTTTTGGTATTTTTTAGTAAAGACGGGGTTTCACCGTGTTAGCCAGGATGGTCTCGATCTCCTGACCTCGTGATCTGCCCGTCTTGGCCTCCCAAAGTGCTGGGATTACAGGCGTGAGCCGCCGCGCCCGGCCAGGAGTGTTTTCTTTACTCCCATGCACCAAAATCTAAAGTAGTGCTACTCTAAGTATGGTCCCTAGACCACTAGCGGCACCTGGGAACTTGAAAGATATGCACATTCTCTGGTGCACACCAGACTCTCCAGTGATGAGCCCAGGAACCTGCGCTCCAACGAGTTCTCCAGGTGATTCTGCCGCACGGTGAAGTCTGAGAACCACGGAGCTAAAGAGACCCAGGCGTGGGGCTGGGTGGGAGAAGAGGTGGGGAGAAACGGGGATGCATTCTCTCTTGAGCCCCTCTACACACACACACACACACACACACACACACACACACAGGTCCTGGTCAAAAAGCTGTCCTCGGGAGACAGGGCTGCCTGCCGTGCAACTGCAGGTAAAACTTAATTTAGTCCGTGTGGGCTAGGACGGTGGACAGGCAGCTAAACAGAGTTGTGTCGCCATGGCAACATGACTGCGATGAGTTTGCCGCGCTCACACACTCCCCACTTTCCATCTGGCCCTCGCTGGTGACCGGGGAGTGCTGTCTGCGGCCCCATCACCCGGCACACTGTTTGGCACGGGATCAGCCTTCAGAGTCACGGCTGCACAACAGGGCCAGCTGGGCAGAGCCTGGGGAATCCCCGGGTGAGGGACTCCAGTGTCCTGAATAAGCCCTGGTTGTACCCAGGAGGGGACGAAGGGGCTGGGAGAACCGTATTAAAAGCCGAAGAGGGCCGGGCTGAGCCGTCAAAGCCCCCAACTTTACAAGTGTTTCCTCCTCTAGAGAGCCCCGCTCTGAAGCAGCCCAACCCCCAGGTCCTGCGTAAATGACCAAAGCACCCCCACTGCCACCTCCGGAGAATCCTTCTGCGCCACTTCCCAGCCCAAGTCCTGCCAGCGAAGCGACAGTTCCAACCCCGCACCTTCATGACGGAAACCCACCTTCCCTACGAGCCCAGCCCTCCGGCTTTCCAGGCCCAGACCCCATCCTGCCTGGCTCCCCGTGGCCCACGGGGCAGGACCAGGCTGAGAACACTTCCACGCTAGGCCCACAGGGCCATGTGTACCCCTGCCTGCCCCCGCAGTTGACTACCCCTCCCTGTGGTCAACTAGGGAGCCAGATGAAGGGCCTGGGGACTACCTGGCTTGGCAGAGGATCCATTTCACCCCATTAACCTGAACCTGGCAATCCCTGTCTTCTGCTCCCCATCTCCCTTCCTCTTTCTTTCTTCCTGGACCTCGTTGATATAAGCTTTGACAGCTGGAGAGGGGAGACCCTCCCGCCTGATCCAGGGCTGTAACTGGCTCAAGAAACCATCAGGGCCAAGACAGCACCTAGGTGTGTGCACACACTCACACACACACAAAGGCAGGAACCAGCTCCTGTTACCTCTCAGCTAGAGCTGCCAGCCTCCTTCCACGTACGGTCTTGGACGTTACCACCGTAGGCTCCAGCCTGGCTGCTCTGCCGGACGCTCACCTGCCTGTGCACACAACAGAGCTGGGTCCAGCACAAGCTCACCCCCTCCTCCACCTAGCCCACTCCCAAACAGCCACAGCTCCTCCTCAATGGGCCTGGTCTTTGAGAGCCATGATGGGGGAAAGGAAGAATGATCAAGCAGGAGGGCATCACCCTTGGGTCCTCTCAAGGCCCATGGTGAGGATGAAGGCTGCTCCCCTGTGAGGCTGGGAGCCTGGCAAGGAAAAGCATGCAGGGAGGGGAAGTAAAGCAAGCCCCCACCAGATGCTATAGGGCTACTCCGGGCTTAGCAGAGGACCTCTGGAGATGGCTCACACGCACCCTGATGGACAGCAGCCCTGGCTCTCCAGGCACACACAGTCCAGAGGAGGACAGAGCTGGTTTTAACATCACCGGTCATGGGACGCTCATACACACAGTCGTGCTGTCTATTTCTCCCCATCAGGCACAAGATGTCCACGCCCATGGCACCAGATTATTGTCCAGGGCCCTGAGTCCCGGGCCTTGGACATATAAGGCAGCTTCTGACCAGAAGGATTTCCCGAATGATGCCAGGGAACTTGGATGGCGCTAGAGTAGACAAGAGCACCGGTGGTGACCAGCCTCATGCAAGCTCCAGTGCTGTGTCCACGACTTCAGAGGGGGTGCCAGCGTGGGCAGAAGGCATGACTGCCACCCTCGAAAATATCTGAACTGGGCCCAGAGCGGTGGCTCACGCCTGTAATCCCACCATTCTGGGAGGCCGAGGCGGGGCGGATCACCTGAGGTCAGGAGTTCGAGACCAGCCTGTTCAACGTGGCAAAACCCCGTCTCTACTAAAAATACAAAAATTAGCCGGGCATGGTGGCATGTGCCTGTCATCCAAGCTACTCGGGAGGCTGAGGCAGGAGAATCACTTGATCCCAGGAGGCGGAGGTTGCAATGAGCCAAGATCGCACCACCACACTCCAGCCTGGGCAACAGAGCAAGACTCTGTCTCAATAAAATAAAATAAAATTAATTAAATTAAAATTAAAATTTAAAAAATCAGAACTACACACAGGCTCTAGGTCACAAGGTAGGACCCACCCTGCCTTGGTATACAGATGGCTTCGAGTGGCATCTATGGGGGACAAGGGCCACATGGTACCATCCTCACTCTTGGCTCCAGCCCTCCCTCTTGTTTAAGAGCTAATTGCCTGTTATGGGTCACCGTGTGTCCCCCAAAAAAGATATATTGAAGTTCTAACCCCCAGTATCTATGAATAGAACCTTATTGAAAATCGGGTCTTTACACATATAATCATGTCAAGATGAGGCCGATAGGATGGTCCTTAATTCAATAGGACCAGTGTCCTTATAAGCAGGGAAGGCTGGCCGGGCGCCCACTCACACTTGTAATCCCAGGGCTTTGGGAGGCTGAGGCGGGTGGATCACTTGAGGTCAGGAGTTCGAGACCAGCATGGCCAACATGGTGAAACCCTGTCTCTACTAAAAATACAAAAATTAGTCGGGTGTGGTGGGGGGCGCCTGTAATCCCAGCTACTCAGGAGGCTAAGGCTAGAGAATCGCTTGAACCCAGGTGGTGGAGGCTGCAGTGAGCCGAGATCGTGCCACTGCACTCCAGCTCGGATGACAGAGCAAGACTCTGTCTCAAAAAAAAAAAAAAAAAAAAAAAATTAGCTGGGCATGGCGGCGCATGCCTGTAGTCCTAGCTACTCAGGATACTCACTGAGACAGGAAGA